GTTGGCTCCAAGGCCCTTCAGAAACAGAGGAGGGACACAAGAAGCAGTGCTGGCCTGAAGACAAGACCCGTGGAGCTGGTGCCTGATCACTTGTGTTTTTGTAATGTTGAAATGTGTTATTTCACTCTCGGCCTCAGTTTACACGTCTGGGCCACAGGAACAATGATACAATCTTCTCTTGGGCCTGTTGTGGGGGACTAAGAAACTTAATATAAGCAGAGTACTTAGAACAGGCATCCTCAAACTATGGCCCACGGGCCACATGTGGCCCACCTAGGACATTTATCCTGCCTGCTAGGTGTTTTTGCTGCCACTGCCTGTCCTACTTAGCAGCTGACTTGTCCCGGGCCCTCAGTCCAGCCCTCCAACAGTCTGAGGGACAGTGAACTGGCCCCCTGTTTAAAAAGTTTGAGGACCCCTGACTTAGAACAAGGCCTCCATGCACCTGCCCTAGATGCTCTCCTTACTGCCCGGCAGCACCATTATTACTGGGAAGTCAATGTCCTGTACAGACCCCTGTGGTCAGTGTGGTACAGAGCTCCTGCTTTTTGGCTCATAGAGCAGTCTTCGGGCCAAGATAGCCATCCACATGGAAGGAGCTTTCACAGAAAATATTTTCAACTTCTAGGTGTGTTACAAGGGATTCAAGGACACATACCTGCACAGATGCACAGGGCCCTGCTCTTTCTCTCACAGTAGAACCTGTTTCTCCAAGACAAGGGCTTGGGTGTGACTGGATGTGCCCTCTGATTCCCTGCTCTACACAAGAGCCTGGGAGAAGCACGTGCCGTTCCAGCTGAGGGGCACACACAGGAGGCAGCTCAACACATCTCCCCTCACAGAACTAAGCAAAGCCGCCAATTGACGTTTCTGAGCAGCAGAGCCACACACTTCTAATGAAGTCTGCGCAGCTGACACAGCGACGTTCTCCAACTGTGGGACTGGGATGAGAGGAGGAGGGGTGATGCGTCTCCTTCAGACGCAATTATGTATAAGAGTGAAAAAAAATCATTACTGTGGAGTTCCAGGCTAACATCTGCTTTAGTCAAGCATTTGCTAGCTACAGACCACTTCTACAACCTTCCCAAGACTTACCTATCAAACGGGCCAAGAGTTCTGGAAGGAAAGGTGTGCAAAGCACAAAAGAAGTGATCCAGCTTCCTGTCTGCCTGTCCAAGTGATTCGGCTTCCCATCTACCTGTCCAAGTGATCTGGCTTCCCGTCTACCTGTCCCAAATGATCCGGCTTCCCATCTACCTGTCCAAGTGATCCAGCTTCCCATCTCCCTGTCCAAGTGATCCAGCTTCCCATCTACCTGTCCAAGTGATCCAGCTTCCCGTCTACCTGTCCGAGTGATCCGGCTTCCTCTCTACCTGTCCGAGTGATTCGGCTTCCCATCCACCTGTCCGAGTGATTCGGCTTCCCCTCTACCTTTCCGAGTGATCCAGCTTCCTGTCTACCTGTCCGAGTGATCCGGCTTCCCGTCTACCTGTCCGAGTGATCCGGCTTCCCATCTGTGTGTCCCAAGTGATCCAGCTTCCCGTCTACC